CCCCTTTGTGACTATTTTTGTTTTTTTTTTCCTTTCCCTTTTGCGGCTATTTTTCTTCTTTTTGTGCTAGTCTCCATCTATGACATAAACCAAACATGTACTAGTGGTAGACCAAAGCAAGCAGACTACGCGGATCTCAGTAGCCAGGTCGTCTCTCCAAGCCTCTCCCGTGCACGCCTGTGACCTGTAAAATGTGCTTACACTAGTAAGTAGCATAGGATGGGAGCGTCCTGATGTGCGTCGCTTAAAACTGTTCCGTGCCTATACATGACCCCATAAATGCGTTTAGATGGAACTTTCTCAGTGTTCAAACCAGCGTAAACTCCAAACGAAAATAGTCAGTCAGATCAAGGTACTCGTGGAAGGGAAGCAGCTGGACCTGGACGCCAACGAAGCTGCCAGCCAATTGAGTGGTTGTGGCAGAGGGAGTAGGTCTCAGATGCAAGAAACAATGGCATTTGTGCCGCGCAACAGCTTTTATTTTTTCGGCTTAAAGGGCATCGCTCCCAATTTCATTCATCATGAAATCGATAATGATGCAACAGGTTAACTTGCAAACAACCAGCACAATCAGGTTCGACCATATACATAACAACACCATCTCCCGAAATAACACTCAATGTAGTGTCAAAACCACTATACCTGCACTATCAAAGGCTCCAGTAGAACAAACCGCATGCCCTACTTCTAGGCTCTGAACACCGCATTGCAGAATTGTCCAACAACAACCACCAAAAGCAGAAGCAAACATACAACCCAGCCGAGTCATCAAAAAGCTCCCAGATAACTCCTTCCAGCCATTCACAGCACCAGTGTCGCCCATCCTCTCTTTCGGCTGTACATCTCAGCTGCAACTTGCCACAACAGTCTTGCTCCTCTGGCTTGCAATTCTCGGACCCCCCCTCACTTCTGCAAACCAGCCCAGTGTTCCAACCAGTGAGAAACTTGAGCAATAACGCTATTCGGATCATACGGATAAATATCTCTAAAGCATATTGGATTATTCCTACCTTCCAGATTGCCCTAAGCCCCTAATTATCGCTGCTACCCCTGCAGCCATTAGTCCTACTCCTCTCATCTTACCAGGAAATCTCATGATCCACAGAGAAATATCTTTTACAGTGTCTAAATTCATGGATACCCCCAAAGCATAACTAACTGCTCCCCATACATATTTTGCCAAAGAACGGTGAATAAAGAGGTGATCCACAGATTCTCTAGCCTCACAAAAACAACACTTCTCATCTCATACCCAACATCTTTTTTGTCAAGTTATCTTTAGTCAATAATATACTATTCTTAAAACATCAATCGCAAGAAAACTGTAATCTTAAGAGGTACTTTAATAAACCATAATTTTCTAAAAGGACATCTAACTTGCAAAGCTTTGATCAACAGGTACATCGATCTAACGGTAAATTCACCACATGTAGTTAAAGTCCACACGCACTTATCTCTCTCCTCACTTAGAACCATGTCCTCACAGAGACATTGCAACTGCTGCTCAGCCAAATCACCTAGCAACCTCCTCCTAAATTTGACACTATCCCAACAACCCCAAATCACCTCTGCTACAGTAATACTCCCTCCGTCCGGAATTACTTGTCATCAAAATGGATGTATCTAGAACTAAAATACATCTAGATACATCCATTTCAATGACAAGTATTTTGGGACGGAGGGAGTACTAAAACTGGTGTTAGCATTATACAATCTATGGAACTTACTACACAGTGGAACATTACCTAATCAAGAGTCTTCCCAAGAAACTTGAGCAATAACGCTATTCGGATCATACGGATAAATATCTCTAAAGCATATTGGATTATTCCTACCTTCCAGATTGCCCTAAGCCCCTAATTATCGCTGCTACCCCTGCAGCCATTAGTCCTACTCCTCTCATCTTACCAGGAAATCTCATGATCCACAGAGAAATATCTTTTACAGTGTCTAAATTCATGGATACCCCCAAAGCATAACTAACTGCTCCCCATACATATTTTGCCAAAGAACGGTGAATAAAGAGGTGATCCACAGATTCTCTAGCCTCACAAAAACAACACTTCTCATCTCATACCCAACATCTTTTTTGTCAAGTTATCTTTAGTCAATAATATACTATTCTTAAAACATCAATCGCAAGAAAACTGTAATTTTAAGAGGTACTTTAATAAACCATAATTTTCTAAAAGGACATCTAACTTGCAAAGCTTTGATCAACAGGTACATCGATCTAACGGTAAATTCACCACATGTAGTTAAAGTCCACACGCACTTATCTCTCTCCTCACTTAGAACCATGTCCTCACAGAGACATTGCAACTGCTGCTCAGCCAAATCACCTAGCAACCTCCTCCTAAATTTGACATTATCCCAACAACCCCAAATCACCTCTGCTACAGTAATACTCCCTCCGTCCGGAATTACTTGTCATCAAAATGGATGTATCTAGAACTAAAATACATCTAGATACATCCATTTCAATGACAAGTATTTTGGGACGGAGGGAGTACTAAAACTGGTGTTAGCATTATACAATCTATGGAACTTACTACACAGTGGAACATTACCTAATCAAGAGTCTTCCCAAGAATCTAGTAGTTTTGCCATTCCCAAGAGTCTTCCCAAGAGTCCTACAAAATTTATAATACTCTTTTCTAGTCTAAGATGCCACTCATAAAATGAGACTTGCGTAGGTTTTCTCTTAATGCTGACTAGGACTCTTCATTACAATATTTACTTCTAATCATATCTTGCCACAAAGCTTCATCATTTTCTATTTTCCATAACCATTTACTCAAAAGACACCTATACATTACAGCTAGCCCAGACCCCCTACCCCGATGAATAGGTTGGCAAACCTTTTCCGACTTCACTAAATTGTACTTGTCAGATTCATCACTATCCTGCCATAGAAGTCTTTTCATAAAATATTCTACTCTACGCAGAGTATCTTTAGGAATAGGAAACATAGACATCATAAAGTAAGGTATACTACTCAAACAGGATTTCAGCAAAATTAATTTAGGACCACAAGACATCATTCTTCCTTGCCAGGCTCCTAGTTTCCTTTCCATCTTGTCCTCCACTCCTTTCCAATCACTATTCATAAGCTTAACACTATGCACAGGGATGCCCAGGTAAGCTACCAGCTACACAAGTAAAAATTTCTCTACATATTTCAATGTGACCACTAGCCTATCATAAACAAAAAAGCTCACTCTTATTAAAATTAATCTTTAGACCAGAAAGATGCTCAAATAAGCATAAAATGTTCTTTAACACCTTGGCCTCTTCCTTGTCAGCTCTTAATAAAAGTACTGTGTCATCAACATATTGTAACATATTAACGCCTCCCTCTACTAGACAAGGAACTACCCCTCTAATTAACCCAGCTCTCTTAGCTCTATGAATTAATTCCTGCAAAACA